GTTCTCTTTTGTTAATCTTAAAGACTTCTTTTTTTTTCTTTTTAAAGTAATCAGTCATAGGTGAACCTCTCATGAGTAGTTTCTGCAAATTTCTTTCAGATTTGTCAAGTGGTTCATCCAGACACAGGCCTAAACATTATCACCCGGTGTCTCTTTTTGCTGATGACACCRAAGTGTTTATTAGTTTACAAACGTTTTGACACCTTCCTCTTTTTCAGGTCCAGCGTGCTCTCTGGAGGTRGCCTTCATCCTGGACAGCTCTGAGAGCACCAAGCAGATCCTGTTCGAGCAGCAGAAGGCCTTCGTGCTGAGATTCAGCACCCGGCTCTCCGTGCTGCAGGTCACYGGCTGGGCCCTGAAGGTGCGGATCGCCGCACTCCAATTCAGCAGCTCCGTGTCCGTCGAGCACCGATTCACAGACTGGAAYGACCTGGACTCTTTTCAAGGCAGAGTCAATGCCATGAGCTACATCGGTCAGGGCACCTACACCACCTACGCYATCACCAATGCCTCCCAGCTGCTGATGCAGGAGACGCCCAAAGACAGCGTCAGGATCGCGGTGCTGTTGACCGACGGAGTCGACCACCCGCGTAACCCCAATGTGTTGGCAGCTGCAGCGGAGGCCAAAGGTCGAGGCATCAGGTTCTTCACCATCGGGTTGTCAGACGTGGCCCAGCAGAGCGAGAATACCGACAAGCTCCGCGCCATCGCCAGCTCACCCGCTCAGCAGTATGTCCAAAGTCTGCAGGACCCTCAACTGGAGGAGAAGCTGCTCAGAGAGATGGTGAGGGTCCGGGTTGGGTGGCGTGGTGCCGCCTGACTCTGCGGACATCCTCAAGCACCTTTATTCTTTTTTCCCATGGGAGAGACAAATTGTTGTAGCATTCCCATTTATTCCYAAACTTCACAAATATTCCACACTTTACGTTACACAAACTTTGTGTTGGCCCTTTGTTTAACCTCTTCAGCCCCAAGGGGTTTCCTTGAAGTTTGTGCTCAAGATAACATGCCCAAATTCAATTAAATTCATTATGCAGCATATAAATGTTTTAAAAAATATCATGAATAAGGCTAAAAAAAAACTCATAGAAACCATAATCCCATTGTAGAAAAGTACCGGGTCGTGGGGATTAAATATCTAAACCCACAGGTCTCAATGTTGGGGTCACAAAACACAACGTTGGGGATCTTAAGGTGACCTCCAGGAATCAAACACAATTTTAAAAAAATCCCTTCTACCTATTTTTCACTACAGTTGTTACAAAGATTTTAAAAAGTTTTTGTCTTATGTTTGTTTTTGTCTCATGTTTTTCCATGCAGGGAGCAGTTGCTCTTGAAGCGGTAAGTTTATAGACAAATTATTGCATTTTACTTATTTTACTCACTAAATACAGTATATTCACTGACTTTCTGTTTCTGTTTTTTTAGTGTCCACAGAACCAGGTGTGTTTGTGTGAAAAAGGAGAGAGAGGCCCTCAGGGAAATCCTGTGAGTTTCTGAGGATAAACCTTTTCAGCTTTGCGTGATAAATGTTGAAGAACATTTCTGTCTTGTAATATTCTTGAACCTATCATGTACTCCTCTCAAACTCATCTCAAACCTGTCTTGTACTCTTCCCAAATGGGTCTTAATCTTGTCTCAAACTCATCTCAAACCTGTCTTGTACTTTTCTCAAACTTGTCTCAAACTCATCTTAAACCTGTCTTGTACTCTTCTCAAACTTGTCTCAAACTCATCTTAAACCTGTCTCGTACTCTTCTCGAACATGTCAAACTTGTCCTAAACACATCTTTTACTCTCGTCTTAAACTTGCTTCAAACACATAGTCTTCTCGAACATGTCTTAAACTTGTCTTATATTCATGATCTCAAACTTGCCTTAAACTTGTCTCAAAATTGCCTCAAATCTGTCTTGTACTCTTCTCAAACTTGTCTTAAACGCATCTCAAATCTGTCTTGTACTCTTCTGAAACTTGTCTTAAACTTGTCTCAAACTCATCTCAAGCCTGTCTTGTACTTTTTCAAACTTGTCTTAAACTCATCTCAAACACATCTTTATTCTTCTCAAACTCATCTTGAACTCATCTCAAACCGGTCTTGGACCTTTTTAAACTTGTCTCAAACTCATCTCAAATCCATCTTAAAGTCTTCTCAAACTTATCTTAAACTCATCTCAAACCTGTCTTTACTCTTCTCAMACTTGTCTTAAACCTGTCTCAAACTCATCTCAAACCTGTCTTGTACTTTTTAAAACTTGTCTTAAACTTGTCTTAAACTTGTCACAAACTCGTCTCAAACCCATCTTATACTCTTCTGAAACTTATCTTAAACTCATCTCCAACCTGTCTTGTAATCTTCTCAAACTTGTCTTAAAGTTCTCTCAAACTCATCTCAAACCCGTATTGTATTCTTCTCAAACTGTTAGCTTGTTTAAACTGTAGTATTTTTTAAGTGTGATGTCCTTTTAAAGATACCCTGAAATAAAATGTATTATCATTACTATGATTGTTTTTTTATTGTTATTAGCAGTAGTAATAGTATTGGTGGTAATGGTAGTTCAGTAGTAGTAGAAGTGGTAGTAGTAGAAGTGGTAGTAGTATCCATAAGTGGGATTCCATGTTTTTTCTTGCAATTTTATATCTGCAGCAGTCACAGTTCAATGAGAATTGGCTGCCTCATGCCATGAACATTTATGTAAAATATTTCTGATCGAGTTTTAATCACTGATGAGTCGACGTTGTGTTTTTAATCTTTCATCTGTGAGCAGGGTAGAAAAGGAGATCCAGGAGACAGGGGGCAACCAGGTCTAAAAGGAGCTAGGGTTAAGTATTACATCAAATAAAGCATTTCTAAAACATTTTCATGTCTGATTTCTGACTTTGACTTGTGTTCTTTCTTAAGGGTGAGCCTGGATTTAATGGTCAACCTGGAAGCGACGGCCCTCAGGTAAAAAATAAAAAGTGTCTCTTTTTCTTTTTTTTGACTATTCTCAGTAACAGCCTGATTAAACATTGATTTTAAAACTTTCCCAGGGACGTCCCGGTTATAAAGGCAACAAGGTGAGGGATGTTTTAGCCTAAAGCTGATTTATTTTTTAAAAAATTTTTACAAAGTGAGCCAATGTGTCGGTGTTTGCAGGGGGAAAGAGGAGAGTGTGGCGCTCCTGGAGAAACGGGTGATGCTGTACGCCTGTTTTTTTTGCATACATTTTTCATTAAATGTAGTTTTTTTGTATTAATTTATTTTATGATGAGTTACATGTTGTTTTGCAGGGAGCACAAGGACCAGCAGGACCTCCGGGACCAAAAGGAGAACAGGTAGAGTTTTCAGTGATTTGCATCAGCATCACTTACCGTTTTATTTTGAAAGAGCCTCGACTCTATTCTGTTTAGTTTTCACTTCCTGCTTCCAGGTTTCAGCAGATGAGCTGATTTCCAGCTTTTAGTTTAGTTAAAAGTAATCTGGGATATTTTAGTTTATTGTGAGAATATATTCGGCTTCCACAGTCTGCTGCCTGTGAGACACATTTATATAAAAGCATCACTTCAGATGACCCGTCTTGCCTCTCTTCAGTGTGAAAAATGGAAGTGTTAACTCTGCTCTGCACTAATGGAATGTGAATTTTGGATTATAGGTAATCCTGACACCAAAGCTGTGAATCCAGGCTTGCAGGATATTATTCTTTTGCAGAAACAGACTTTGTGTGGTGGGATTAGCGCAAGAACCTGCTCATCATTCCTCCTTTTCTGTGGCGCAGAGTCGGTCCCACCTTGTTATTGTGAGGTGTGAGAGTCGACGGGATGAAAGCGTCACACACTGAAGTGAAACCTTGTTAACGTTTGTCTGCTCAGGTGCTTCACACCTGGTGGTTGGTCAGAAAACAAAAAGTCCGTCAGTGTTCACATTATTGTTTTACAGGTTTTTTCCTGTTTGTTTTAAGACTATTTCTGCATTTTTTAAAAGTTATTTTAGCCGCATCAAAGCATTTAGGAGATGGGTGCTACAAACTTTGGGTTTTGTGACTTTTTAAAATATTCATGTACAAATACTTTTACTGTAGAAATATAAAGTTCTATTCATTTATTTAAAAAAACATTGTTCTGTTTGAAACCTGCTTCAGCTACAGGATTGTGTCTTCTTATGCTACKTTTAGCTTTTAGCCAGCATTTTGATACTTTTTGGTTTTAGCTACTTCTTTAGTTTTTTGCCAGCCTTTCGCTGCTTTTAGCTTCTCGCTGTCCTTTTGATACTTTTAGTTTTTGACAGCCCTTTGATACTTGTAACTAAAGATTTGTTAATTTTTTTGCCTTTAACTAGAATTTTGCTACTTTGAGCTTTTAGCTACCTCTTCACTAATTTAGTTTTATTTGCTAGCCTTTTGCTMCTTTAGCTTATAGCTGTCCTTTTGATACTTTTTGATTTTGACAGTCCTTTGATACTTTTAACTAAGGTGTTTTGTTTTTAACTARCATTTTGCTACTTTTAGCTTTCAGCTACCTTTTTACTATTTTTTGCTGTCCTTTATATACTTTTAGCTTCTAGCTGTTCTATACGTCTAACTAGCTTTCTACTTTTTGCTTTAGCTAGTTTTAGCCTTTAGCATTTGGCTACATTTAACATTGTGTCAGYCTTTTGATACTGCTTAGTCTGATAAACTGAAAAAGTCACCTAGAGTTGTGGAGAATAAGCAGATGATAAAATGTCAAACATAAGCTAAAGGTTTTCATTTTTGCACTTGTTTAGTTTAGTTTTATTTTTGTTTTGTTTATTTTTATTTAAGTTTTTGTTTTGTTTTGCAGGGTGTACCTGGACCAATGGGAGATATGGGTCCTGAGGGGCCAGTGGGATCCAAAGTAAATAAGAAATTCTTCTTTTTTTTTTCACATTTTGCCAACTGTGATGGATTTCTGACAAATGACAAAAACAAACTTGGACCTGTTTGCTTCACAGGGAGACCGAGGACCCATTGGGGCACCTGGACCCCCAGGAGACTTTAAGATTGGATTTCCAGGCACCAAAGTGATTTTTTTCTTTCATTATCATTATTGCAGCTTCATTTACTGTTTTATGATCCCATCAAAAATCACTTTACTTTAACTTCTGTGTAAAACATTTAGTTAGAATTCACCTGATTATTTTATATTTCTGTTGTTACTAGATTCGTTACGTTTAAAGTGAGAATATTCCTCTATATTTATTTGAATTTGATCATAATGACTGAAGCTTTGGAAGATGTTTGAATCCGATGGTTGTTTACAGGGTGAAAAGGGTCTTCAGGGAAGACCAGGACCTCCAGGTCCTGCTGGGATTGGAGAAACAGGACTACATGTGAGCATGAATTTAACAACTCTGGACCTTTTTTTATACATTCATTTATGAGCTTACAGGCTCAAATATACATTTCTTTATGTCTTCAGTTATATTTGTCTCTCTTCTAGGGTCCGCCGGGACCACCTGGACTACAAGGAAACCCTGGACCTCCTGGAGAAGGGTTTCCAGGGCCAAARGTGGGAAACATTTTTGATCTTTGTCAAGCTTCTTTACCTATAAAAACTTTGATTCAGCAGGTTTTCATCATTTTYGATCAGTTTTGTAGATTTGTGGTGAAACTAAATTTATTAAATGATTCTGTCAAACCTTGATGGCCCCCTGGAGAGACCAGACCCCTAAAAACACTTAGTTTCTAAAAAGAATCACATTTAAAGCAGGATTTCTGGCACAAAAAATAGTTTGGTAGCATCAAAAAGCAGAAAACTGCTTTGAAAACATCTGTCGTCTTTGTTTTAGGGGGATCGAGGATTTGACGGTCCACGAGGAAACCGTGGTCTTCCTGGGGTTGGGGTCAAAGGTGACAAGGTGAAAAAATAACAAAACTATTTCTGAGTTTAAAAAAACAACAGACAGACTCTCCAACACGGGTCGCATTCAGATGTTCAGATCTGCTTCTTCATTCGTGGTTTTCAGGGTAATTTTGGACCACCTGGAGTTCAGGGTCCAGTTGGGGCTCCTGGGGTTGGACTTCAAGGTGAAAAGGTAAAAACTTTTTTTTTATCAAAATGCAAAATCTTTAATCTGTACAAAGACATTCTGCAGTTCCTCCAGCTGCAGTTAAGACTTGAGTYAAAGGAAGTTGGTTTTGAGCTTCCTCTGTCCCGCAGGGAGACCAGGGTCCAGCTGGACCTGCAGGACCAAGAGGAGCTCCAGGTGTTGGAATGCCAGGACCAAAAGTAAGAGACGAGGGATCTTTTGATCATTTTAGGTTTGCAGATGTCAATATACAGTATTTGTAAAACTACCAGACTAAACTCAAATTTACCCTCAGGGGAACCAGGGCCCCCCAGGTGAGCCTGGACATCCAGGTGAGACGGGGGTGGGAGCRCCAGGACCCAAAGTAAGTCCCATTCATCACAGCTGTGTAATGATCATTTCTGGTCTTTGTCTGAGAAAGGTACAAATAAAAAGCTTAAATTTTTGTGTAAAAAAAATCAGTATTTCAATATATCAATATTTATAAACAGGTCACCTAAGATATTTTGTGTTTTGTCCGCAGGGAGACCCTGGAGCTCAGGGATCAGAAGGACTCCCAGGTCTACAAGGGGAGGATGGAAGTCCGGGACAAAAGGTAACATCCAAACTGTTTTCATTTAGTTTTTTTTTTTCTTTTTAAGTTCTGTTTTAACCCTATAAAGACTGACCCTTTAAAAAATAGTCAGAAAATTCTCATTTTTAAGGACTGACATGTTTATTGGGCCTTTAAACAAAATCCAAGAAAAAAATGATTATTTTTTTTTTTTGCCACATCACTTTGTTTATGAGATATTTTTTGTATCAAATTTGATACACTGGGCTGTTTTGGTAACATTTTGCTC